GATTTCCCTCTTTTCCTCTAATGCAAGCACACACCCTAGGGCGAAAAACCCCAAAAAAAAAAAAAAAAAAAAAAGAAAAGAAAGAAAAAAAAGATGAGGAAATGGCAGGACAATAGTCAATGTCTGAGGCACATGCTCTCTTTCTAGGAACACTCAGTTTTTTCTGGGAACATTCTGCTAATACTAAGACATCAGTATTTTTTTGTAGTTTAGCACAGATTGGCCATAATTGATTCAGGTCTCAACCTGTTTCTGGAATAACATTGATCATTATTTTGCCACTATATGTATCACTTCAACAAGCATTATGGATTATATACATTTTATATACTGGTGTTTTTAGTATTTTTAAATTTATTTTCATAAAATATATACTACATAAAATTTATCATCTTTCCTCTCAAGGTCCTAGGACCATCACCACCATGCATCTTCATGACTCGTTTCATCTTGTAAGACTAAACAATCAATAACTATTATTATATAATAATGTCAAATCTTTCCATTCCTCCCACCTGACCCAGCCTCTGGCAAACCATCATTCTTTCTGTACTTATTATTACTACTCTGAACATCTCAAGACAGTTTTTACTGTGGAAAACAGTCCAAAATTTTGAAATCTATTTAAAGAAATTGATTCAAAGACAATGGTTAAAGTGGACTGAGAAAAGCTTTATTTCGAACCATCATCGTAAGTGTAGGGTCCACAGAAATGAGAATTTCACTGGGGAAGAGAAATTGGGGTCAACTTCAAATACAGCATGTGCAGTGGAAACTCACAGCTGAGGAGCAATGTGGTGATTATCAAATGGAAAATGACTAAAGAAAAATTAGGAATATGAGAGATTCTGGATAAACTGAAATAATAGGATTATGGCTGAGGACACAGGGTGATCAGACATCACACCTAATCACTTATTTAAAATAACCTGATATTTACTGTGGGGTTTCTTTCTAAACTACTTTAGCAGGGTTATTTGCTCAAAAGGGATTTTACATGGAAGTATGCAGAGGAAACTAAAAGATTGAGAGGCCTGACTAAATTCTGATCAAGGCAAAACTTTGACACATTTTAACCATGTCCAAGTATATACAATTTAGTACTGTTCAATTTGTTCACATTACTGTGCAACCACTCCAGTCACTTTTACAAGATTGGAAGAGTCATACAGATAGTAGTAATGTTTGCTAGACAATGTGAGCACACACAGTATGTCTGGTCATCTCACTTTTCACATTGTAGCTCATAGTGACTTCCACCAGCCTGTTCTTGTCAACACTGAGCAGCTACCTTACATCCCACCCACCATAGTTTGGTCTGTTCTACCTGGGTCATGATGTTGGGCAAACCAAAACCAAAACCAGCCCAATACCAATTGACCTTGAGTTGCATTTCTGGACCAGTGGGTGTTCTGCCTCAGAACCTCTTGGCTAATGCTGGCCACAAAAGCTGTGATCAACATCCAAAGAAGATCCTGGAAATATTATAACCACCCAGAATTATGTTGTGCCTCAACACACCCAGAGCTTTCACATGCCTCTTGTCCAACCTAGATCAGTTCAATTCCCAAATTGGACATTTCACCAGAGGTACACTTGCAGAGCCCTCTCAGTACATATGAGTAGTTCCCAGGCAATGAAATGCCTTAGAATTTTTTGTTTTGTTTTATTTTGTTAGGCATTTATGGTACATGTTATTTATTTTTAATTTTAATTTACTTTATACACTTTAACATCTCTTAACTTATAAGTTGAATTTATCCAAAATGAATAAACTTCCCACCAGAGCAGTTGAGGATACAAAACACATTATCATCAACATATTATAATCCATTTCTATATCCACAAAATGCCTGTTTATTTTCCTCCATAACTTCTTTCCTTACACTGTCTCCTTTCTCCCGTCTCTAGTACCTATAACCATTTTTAATGTTTATCATGGTCCATAATATTTGCTTTGAAACACTTTTTCTGTTGTCTTGTCTGCCATGAAAGTGGAAGCTAGAAAAATTTCAATATTTATTTTTGCCAAAATCAGTGGTTATATTCTGTTGCATCTTTAAACATCAAACATAGAACATAGAAATAAACTTTTGCTAGGGCCAGCAGATGTTGTAATAGTTATGCCACTGGCCTCTCATATATTTGAATGCAGTTCAAGTCCCAGAGTCACAGACTTAAAACTCAAGCCAGTGTGTGTAAATGTGTGCCCAAGATCCAAAGAAGACAATGGAAAAGAAGGGATTGTGGTGTTGCCATCCCCCAAGGGTTGGTTTCATGCTTTCTATCACTCTGTCTCTCTGTATTTTCATGGAGCATATATTCCCTATAGCAAAAATCACTCTTAAGAAAAATACTTGCCAAAATATGCATGTTACTTCTGTAGTTGGGAAACTCTTAGATTTTATACATTAGTCTTCTGAAATGTTCTCTTTTTGTAGACGATATCATCCCCAAATTTTCTGATATCATTAATTTTAACTACTGTGACTTGCTGAATCAAAGCTGAATTTGAAAAAAAGTTCAACAGAGATCAATTCATATTTCAAGGATTTATAACACAGCTTACATTACTGAGGATTTTGACCCATTGGAGTTTACTGATGTATGGTAACCTTTTAATTCTAATAATAACATTTCTTCATGTTTCACATTCATTTGATTTCTGATCTGAGAGTTCTCTGATCCACAGTAAGTTGGGGATTCTTCAAGAAGTTTTTATTACAGTTCCCACACATACAGGGTTTCTCTTCCTTGTGAGTGCTCTAATGTAAAACATGGAATGATTACTCTGAACACATTTTTCTACTCTATTCCCATTTATAGGATTTACTCCTGTGATCTCTGATATACAGTGAGGACTGACATATTAGATGGAAAATTTCCTATTGTTACATTGACATTCACAGGCTTTTTCTTTTGTGAATTCTCTGATGTACATTGAGGGCTGACTTTTAAATAAAAGACTTTCTATACACCCTACATTCACAAAGTTTCTCTCCAGTGTAACTTTTCAGATGCTTACTAAATATAGTTTTTAAGAGAAAAATTCCTATATTCCTCACATTCATAAGGTTTCACTTCTATGGGAGTCCTCTGATGTACAATCAGCCCTACCTTTTAGGGGTAAAATGCTGCCGACATTGTTTCTTTCCAGTGTGAGTACTCAGATGTACAGTAAGATGTGACTTGGGAAAAAGTTGTATTACATTGTTCAAAATCATAGGGTTTCTCACCTGTGTTGAGTTATCTGATGTACAGTGAGTGCAGACTTCTGGGAGAACATTTTCCTGCAATGTTCACATTCATAGGGCTTCTCTCCTGTGTGAGTTCTCTGATGCTCAGTGAGATATGACTTCTGGGAGAACATTTTATTACATGGTTCACATTAATAGGGTTTTTCTCTGATGTGTGTTCTCCAACGCCTAGTGAGGTCTGTCTTGCAGGAGAACGTTTTCCTACATTGTTCACATTCATAGGGCTTCTCTCCTGTGTGAGTTCTCTGATGCTCAGTGAGATATGACTTCTGGGAGAACATTTTATTACATGGTTCACATTAATAGGGTTTTTCTCTGATGTGTGTTCTCCAACGCCTAGTGAGGTCTGTCTTGCAGGAGAACGTTTTCCTACATTGTTCACATTCATAGGGCTTCTCTCCTGTGTGTGTTCTCCAATGCTTAGTGAGATCTGACTTGCAGGAGAACATTTTCCTACATTGTTCACATTCATATGGCTTCTCTCCTGTGTGAGTTCTCTTATGTACAGTGAGGTACCCCTTGCTGGAGAATGCTTTCCCACACTGTTCACATTCAAAGGGGTTTTCTCCTGTGTGAGTTCTCTGATTCTCAGTGAGATGCGACTTCTGGGAACACACTTTCTGACATTGTTCACATACATAGAATTTCTTTACTGTATGAATTTTCCAATGTCTACTCAAGACTGACTTGGGACTGAAAGATTTTCCACACTCCCCATATTCATAGGATTTCTCTCCAATATGAGTTATCTGATGCACAGTGAAGTATGGCTTCTTGTAAAACATTTTTCCACATATTTTATTTTCATAGAATTTCTCTCCTATGTGACTCCTCTGATATACAGTGAGGTCTGAATTCTGGGAAATCATTTTCATACATTATTTACACTTATAGAGCTTCTCTCCTGTATAAGTTTTCAAATGGTCAGTAAGAGGTGTGTTCAGATACAACAAATTCCTGTATTGTTTTATCTACAAATTTTCTCTCCAGTAAGAGTTGTCTCATGTATAAAAACAGTTGAAAGCTTTGATAATTTATGGACATCATAAGGTTTTACTCCTCTGTAATTTCTCTGTCTACCATAATTTTTGACCTCTGAAAAAAGGATTTTTTTTATGTTTTTTATATTTCTAGGGTGTTTCCCTTATGTGCACTCACTGAGGAAAAGTTAGATTTTAATTCTACAATAAGAATTTCTCTTACTCTTATGAATAGGAATATTCCACTCTATCTTTAAAATCTATTGTAAAAATAATTTTAAAATATAATTTTTCACATTCTCTAGATTTATAGTGGACATCTCATGTATCATCTTCTCATCTTGTGCTGAATGAGACAGACTTTTTGTAAAAGGGTTTCTTCCTCACGTGAACTATATACTGGGCAATAAGAACTGTTTTAGCACATGCTTTCCCATATTTATTCTATTTAGAAGCAGTCTCTCTCATATCAGTCCTCTTTGGTTGGAAAAAGACAACCATTTCCATAAATCATATGTGAGAATTTATTTTATAGTACTCATGTATATTTCAAATATTGGTACTGATCTATAATAAGAAATATGGTTCTTTCTCCTTAATATGTTACTGTAGCAATTTACATTAATATTTTTGAAAGCTGAGTGAATTTATTTTCTTTATGCTCCCCTTTTCTTTAATACCTTTAACAATATTCAAAATATTTACCTCCTATCTTCCTATAATTTTACACTGAAAGATTTCCATGCATCATGTGTTTTCCCTGTCCTTTTACTCTTTTCTTTCTTGCAACAGTGGGTATTGTGTACTGTTTCTTTGCTAATGTCAACAGTTTTCTAGATCATCTATTGGCAGAAGTCAAAAGAAGTCTTGTCACATAAGAAGAAATGTTACTTAGGAAGCACTTGTAGCCAATAAAAATACATATTAATTAATTACCCTAAACATGTCATCCCATAGGAACCTTTAAAAAATATATACCCATTTTTTCACATCTTATCCCAGGAAAACATTTCTACATTTTTCTAACTTCACCAGTACTAACATTTTGTTTTACCCTCTCAATGAAATACAAATTCTTTAAAAGAAAATGTATTACACTAGTCCTAGTCCTTGAAAACTATGCATTGACTAACCTGGGAGGCTCAAGCTGGGAAGTTCTTCTAATGTCCATGGATCTCCTCCTTGCTCCAACTTGAAGATCACTGCAGGTCTGGCAATGGATTGTCCTGTTAATAAAAAGCAGTGTGAAATTTTGCCAACTATTCATGTAAGCTACTTGAAGAGTAACAACGGCTCAGCTTTATCAGCTGTGCAATAAAGGGACTGATTTGGGCATTTTGTTAAAGAGGAGTGCCACTCACATTAACCACAGAATGAAATCTCACTCCTAAACAGCATTAAACATTATGAAACCCTCATACATTTATTATAAAAGGAGACAGTAATTACCTCAGAGAGCTTCATGGGAGTTCCACTAACCCAAAAACATCAGGTTGCTGTAGGTCTCCAGCATCACATCCTTGTATAGAATCTTCTGAGCATCTTCCAGGTCCTGCCACTCCTCCCAGATAAAGTACAGAGCAACATCCTCAAATGATATGAACTCCTGTAAAAATATATTTCCCCTCATCAGTCCTGAGAAACAGAGCATAACATGGGAAATTTACTTTCTCTGTATGTGCGTATAGGCTTGTTCCTCTGTATATTTCTGAACTCTTTGTAAAGAGAGAAAAAATAAAGTACAAACATTTTATCTCTTTGGTAACTGATTCATTGCTAAATTTATTACAAGTATTTCTTCAGAGAGCTCCAAATGTTTTTGCTGCAAGGGATGAAAGCATAATAGATATTCTGCTATGTCAAGGTGTTTATTATCTCATACAAACACATAAGTATAAATACATATCTGGAGTAATGTGTTAGAATTAAGTAAGGTAGACACAAGTTGATGGTAACCAGTCTAAAAACAATGGGAAAGTTTTTTTTCTTTATTCTGTATTATCAATTTGTTCTTCAAGTCAATGATGTTAAGAACATGTATGTAAATGTTCTTACAAAAATGGAATTATAGCAGTCTTCCTATGAAAGCACAAAGGATATTCCTAATATTAATGGAAGTAGAAACAGTATATCTAGGTAAGTATTCCTGGTCTGTGATGAAAGACAAGGTCAGTAAAGGTGTTCAAAGAACTAATTACAAAGTGATTTTGTATTTAAATACTTAATCTAATTCCAATAAAATATTTTATGTGCATACTGTTACTCATAAGTTGAAGTATATTTACAAGCATCTTTATACTACAGTTGTGCATTCAAAAAGCTTTAGAGTCCAAATAAAGATGAATATCACTTTATCATTTGATAAAACACAGAGTATAAATAATACAAAGCCAAAAGAAGTGATACATTTTATAACCAAATTTGCAGTTTAATTGCCATCCACAGATTGCAGACTGAAGATACCCTGAAAGATATAATAGAGTTAAAACCAAAATATAATAGGGTTAAAACCAAGTTGTGATGTGACCACTATACTAAACCACAGAGAAATAAGAATATTGAATAGGGAACTCATCTAAAAAATGGGGAGGGGGGTAGAAGAAAAAAATTTTACTTATCTTTTTGGCACTAAATCAAAACAGAAATTTAACTAAATGTTTCTGTTTAAGCAGGCATATACAAATTGGAGTTAAAAATTAAAATTTGGGAAAAAACTGAGTAGTAGACAGATGAATCTTGTGCACATCATCTTTCAATTTTCACTAGTCAAATATTTAGGAAGCTGCAGAAATTCAAGTGATAGCAGGACTAGCAGGAAGGAGAATTGGAGAAAAGGGATTGTGGCATCCCATGAGGACCCTGGCTATATCAGTTTAGTCCAGAGGATAGTTCCCAGGTCGGTTTATAGCTCATAATGTCCATTTTATGCTTCATTTTGGGGTGCTTTCTCTCTCTTCCTGAATCTACATCTCTCTATCACTCTCTTTAGCAAGTACATAAGCCCTTGGGTAATTAAAAACATCTGTAGTATTTTTCTACAATAACCATGAATAAATGAGAGAAAAATGAAGAAGGCAATCCCATCCACAATAACCACAAAAACTATTTGGAAGAAATCTCATGCATGAAGTGAAAGACCTCTATGAAAATAATTATAAAAGCTCAACAAGTTACTTGAAAACTATGCAGAAACCATGAAGACAGTCCTTTTCATGAATTTGAAGATTTGATATAGGTGCTATGCCACTACTATGCCACAGTGGTCTACAAATCCATTGCAATTCCTACCAAAAAACCAGCAACATTTTACACAGAAATAATTATGAAATGTATGCATAACCACAATAGACCCATATAATCAGACCAATACTGTACAAAAGGAATAAAGTTGGAGGCATCTTACTTCCTTACTCCAAAATGTATGTAAATCAATAATCACCAAGACATCATGGTACTGGCACAAACACAGACATACAGGTCAACTGAAAAGAATAAACACAAAATAACATACAGCCAACAGATTTTTGATGAAGGCCACAGATCAAGCCTCTGGGGGAAAAAGAGAGTTTTCAATAAACAGATCTGGGAAAACTCAATATCCACCAATATTTAATTAAAACTAGATCATCTCTAAGCAGTTACAAATAACTCAAAGTGGATGAAAGACTTCAATATAATGGCCAAATTTATAAACCTATTAAGGAAAATGTAGGAGAACAACAACAGATTGGAGTGGGCAAAGACTACTTAAATAAGACCCATAAGGCATGGACAAAGCCACCAAAAGTAGAGAAACTTGATTACATAAGATAACATATTTCTTAATAGCAAAGAATACAAAAATCAGAATATAGCAACAATGACACTGCAATATAAAAAATCATAATCCAGCAGTGGTGGCTAAGTTCTGGATTACCACATCACTGACTGTGGTTCAAGTACTACATGTGCTTTAGAATGCCACCCACCAATCTGTCCCTCCATGGTAAAAGAGCATGGTAAAAGAGCAAGAGTGGAGAAAGGACTGTCATCCCCCTTGGACATGATTTCTCATTTTCCCTTTTTCTGTGTCTCTTCAACAAGTTCACATGACCTATACCAAAAATCTAGAGACAAAAAACATTAAAAATATTTTAATAGTAAAACACCACTATTTCTAAGCATTTAAGGATTTCCCATGGAGAGGACAGATGATGGCACAATGTAAGACACAATGCACCATGATGGTAATGTGCGTACATGGAAACATTTCTGGGACTCAAGAGATGGAATGGAGGCCTACTTGAGCATGCTGAGCATATGTGTGCTGTGATCCACAGTTGGCTGAGGTGAGAATGAATCAAGGCATCAAGACACTCTTGAGGGTGCTGTCTCTGTCATGAAAGAAAAAAGCTTAAAAAAACTTAATCATATAGAAAAAATAAAAGTAGAGACACAAAATAAAATGATCACAATAATTCAAAAGTTAAGACCTTCTGCCTCCCTGGATGACTTGCAACCAGTCTGAACAACATGCTTTGCACCATGGCTTCTGGCTGACCTGCTGCACCAGTGCAGTTACTGCATCTGTACTCCAGTGGGTGAATATGGAGGAGGGTTGGAATAGCATCAGCATCACTGGGGTGTGCAGGCCTGCTCATCTGGTACTGCAGTTACATCACTTGCATGTAATGGACTGAGAAAGAAGAAAGAAACAGAAGCCTGCCAAAGAGAGAGTTGGCCTTTCCAAGTTACCTGACCTTAAAGATACTGAAACAGTTCATGCCAGAGACCTATTTTAAAACTTAAGTAAAACACCAGAGTTACTTACTTGAAATATTTTTTGTAAGGTATAGCATTTCTGCCAGTTTTATCAAACTTGGATCCCATATTTTTATCCATTTAGAAAAATCTAAAAGAAGCAACAAAGAAACCAGGGTCTTGCTAACTGATGATCCTCCTCTGAAGCAGAAAATTAACATCTTTAGTTAGAAAAAAATTGAGCCCTTTCAAAGAAAAAGAGATGATACACTTGGGCAGACACTTTACAAAGAAGATTTCTAAATGTTCAATAAATATATAAAACATGTTTAACATTAGTAAATGGAGAAATACAAAATAAGACCAAATTTAAAAAGTCAATAAATGTGGAACAACTGTACTCTTAGAACCAAAATTGGAGCATCAGTTACAAACATTTTGGGAAACTGGATTCTGAAGACACATAACATAACAGCCCATTCACATGCCAAAAGCTTAAACTCAAACAAATGCACACATATTAGTACTATGGAAAGAGCTCACAGTAGCATTAATCCAAATATCTGAAACTAAGGGAAGATGTCAAGAAGAAATTAATAAGGAAGAGTCGAATGAGAAAGTGTAGAGGAAGTGCTTCTAGGGGTGAGCCTTATTTTAGATCTTATAGGTCCAATTTAGCAAAAAGTGTAAAACACACCATAAGTCATAAAAAGAATACACATGATGTATCACACATACTCATTTTTAAAAAAAAATTGCTATAGGGTACCTGCACCCATCTGAAAAACATAGAAAGAAGAAGAAAAAAAGTGGAAAAGCACCCCCCCAAGAGGGCTGATCCACAGCAGTTCATCCTCTTACATTCTTCTCAAGATACTGGACATATACGCACATGTGCCTATTGTGTTTCTCAAGTCACTGGATCTGGACTTTGAATTGTGCTATCAACCATGTGAGGTCCAGCCACTTTACCACCCCACCTTGCTGGCCCTCCACATATTTCTAAAAGGAAATATGTAGACTATATGAGAAAATAAAAGTGTATCGAGGGATATGAAAAGACATGATATTCCATAACATGTACACAAATAAGAAAAATTTATCTTTATGAAATAACCAATTTCCCAAAATTCATCTATAAAGTGAATGGCATCTCATCAAAATTCCAATATGTTTCATTTTCAAAGAAAAAGAGACCAAAATTTTCTGTTTACCTAAACATCAAATATATATACCTATACAATGTACCAAACAATTTATGAATTAAGGCAATGGTAATAACTATCAATAATATCACCCAACAGTAACAAATATTATGAAACTGTAATATAGCAATGATAGACAAATATCATGGAACCATAATATAAGCAAATTACACAGATAAATTTATATTGAAATGAAACTTGCTGTAGAAGAAGAAAAATATTTTCCCTTGAGACACCTATATTTTGTTGCCTTTCATAAACAAAAAGAGGGGCCAACAGCTGACTTGGTGATTATGGTGCTGGACTTTCACATGGCTGACTATGGTATTAGTCCTTGATTTGTAGCTTGCTTTCTCTCTGCTCTTCTTTCTCTCTCTGTCTCTTTTTGATCAAAATTTAAAAATAATAACAAATATAAATAAATAACTATATAAAAATAAAAAAGCTTCCTAGGCATTTTAAAAGAACAGTTTAATTTTTTTTTTAACAGAGAGAGAAAGGAAAAGTAACAAAGCAAACTGCCAAGTCCAGGACTATAATATTACAGCCAATAGGCCAGTGTGGTGTTAAGGCACTGAATTACCACATGGCCAACCATGATTCAAGTGATAGACT